GTTTCCATTTCCTGTTCCTGCTTCTGCCACTTTCCTTAGACCACATACCCACTTGCAGGAAGATTGACACTGTGGCAATCTTCTGGTGTTTGATTTAGTGGTGAGCCCCCCCCCGCCAGTACTGGTACTTCTCCTCACGAGGAGTAAGGGAAGTTGAGGGGAGCGTTTCTCCTGTCGACCTCTTGCTGCGAGGATGATGCCGAAGCCCCGCTTAAGGTACGTTGACTCCAGTTATGTTTTTTACTCAGCTGGAATTGCATATCTTAAGCTGGCCTGACCTGGCTGACAACTTGGTTCTTTATAGCCCAGGTGCTGTTCTGCCTCTTAACTGGCAAAACTGGGAGCACCAGTTCTGGCCCTGGACCTGCTTCATGTTAAGGGACCAGCCACTCTGTGACCCACAACCAGCATCCTAGTAATTGTTCCTTTACTACCTCACCTCCGATAGCAGAAACCAGGGGCTCCACATAATTGGCAAGGAGCATCTACATGGATTCCCCTCCTATCTCCTCTGCCCTGCAGCTCTCGTGCCTCTATGGGCTGCATGGCTCTGCAGGTGACATGTTTTCCAGGGCTCCTGCTGCTGCAGCTGAAATAAGAACCTACCAGAAGGGGCAGTGCCATTTCCACATTACTGAGGAGCAAGCAATTTATATCTGACACTGTATTAACACTGTGCCTTGGGAACCCCCAGGGGTTGGGAAAAGCGTCCCTTCGTTCCCTGCAGATTGGGAGGCCGTGGAACGCCACCAAGTGTCTTCCGTGGGGTTGGCATGTTACAGTGATGGACTTTTCCTATTCTGTGGGGACAAGATCCACTTCTGAGGCCCAATTGTGCACCTGTGGACTCCAAGAGGAGCAGGATAGTGTCCCAATTGCAGTCTTGGAAGCAATCACAAGTCCCTTTATTTTTATTATTGGTGTTTAAATGCTGCAGCCCGACATATCTGCATTCAACAAACTGGAGAGTATCACTGCTGTTCCGAAATGGAAATTATTAAAAAAAAAATCAGACCCCTGCATTTACTCAGAATTATGATGTGTCAAGTATTATAGGAAGATTAGATTGGGAAGGGAATTTTAAAATCATTCTTTTGACATGTAGTCATACAAATAAGCTATTGAAAGTGCAGTCTCAGGCATTATATTTAGTAAGGAGCACGTAGTGCGTATATGCTTTTTTCCCTCTATAATAAAGCCAAACCATAAACAATAGAGCCAAGAGAAGAAAGACTAATTTCATTAGTGTAAAAGTGACATAAATTTAATAATAAATAATGGCCATTATCTATAAAAATATGAAAAGCCATTTTCAAAATCATTAGCTCTAATCACAAATGAATTTTTGCAGTGTTTCTCGATATTTTGCACCTTTGTAATGAACTCTGATAAATTCATAGGACTACATGTTAAATAAAGAGATAGAAAGGTCTAATTTGCTGCTTCATTAAGCCAGCTTATTTCTAGGCATCTTGCATATTGCTTTGAATTTCATATCTCTGAAAGGCGGAGACAATGGAACTATTCGTCTCTAATGTAGTGTGGCACACAATTAGGGACTCAAAAGGATGTGAATCTCTTTCCATCAGAGATACACACCGAGATTATTACTTTATTACCAAAGACTGTCAGCATTACATATCTCCAACAGCTAGAGAGACACCTGACTTGCATGTTTAAATTTGCGCTAAGCAATTTGGAACTTCTTGTTTCATTGTGTTATTCCTTACAGAATGCTGCATGTAGCCCTTTAAAGGGCACAGTTGGGAAACATCTGGGTGGGGTTCAACACCTCTGATAATTTGTAAGCAGTTTAGAAACTGAAGACAATGTGACGTAAGTATATGGTCTGTCCTGGGTTGGGGCCTTAGTCTTACAGGACCAGAACTTAACATTATTAAAGCAAGTAGTCCTATGGCACCTTAGATACTAAGGGTATGTCTACACAGCAGGGAAAAAGTTGAACTAAGATATGTAACTTCAGCTACATCAATTGCATAGCTGAAGTGAAATAGCTTAATTCAGCTTTTGCCGCTGTCTGCACAGCAGGAAGTCAAAAGAACACTCTTCCCTCGACTTCCCTTACACCTCATGAAATTAGGGTTATAGGAGTTGGAGTAAGAAGTCCTCCAGCTCGCCATTATTTCAAAATAATGGCTGTCTGTGTAAACACATATTTTGTTATTTCAAAATAATGTCAATTATTCAGAAATAACGCTGCAGTGTAGACATACCCTAACAAAACTATCTATAGTATCATGAGCTTTTGTGGGCAAAACCCACTTCAAAAGCTCATGATATACCCATGAAAGCTCATGATACTATATAGATTTAGTCAGTCTCTAAGGTGCCACAGGACTATGCATTGTTTTTGAAGTTACAGCCTAACACTGTTACCCCTCTGAGATTATTAAAGCGAGGGGTTTGTTTTTTTTATTGCAACTTTATTTGTTCAACCCACTATAACGTTGGGGAAGCTAACCCTAAAGGGCCCCATCTTGCAATCTGTACTCACACAAGAATTTCTTCGGCATGCATGGTCTATTTGTGGAAGGTTGGCAGAATCATCGCCTGAATTTTTGCCAGACATGTGGCACCAAATCCTGCCCTGTCATGTGACCATGCAGCAGTTCTGCTGTTCTTAATGCAAGCTGTGGCTACACATTCTAGAGCAGAATGGGATCTGTTGTCCTTGAGAGTGGCTCAGTTGATATTTTGAACAACAGCGAAATGAAATGACAGAGATTTTAGGACCAGAGTCTGTCTTCAAATAGACACATGTTGGGGAGATAGGAATTACATACATGCCTCACAGAGTAGAAGTTGACCAGAGCCTTTAATGTTCTACTCCCCCAGGGAGCATTGTAGTTTTAGGCAGGTGAGGAGAATACATTTTCTCATAATTATCTCAATTTAAAGTGGGCTGTGCCCACGAAAGCTCATGCTACCATCTACGTGTTTCATTAGTCTATAAAGTGCTACCAGACCATTTGTTGTTTTTTTCCCATTTCTGTAGTTAATCCACCTCTTCAAGAGGCGGTAGCTAAGCCGATGGAAGAATTTTTCCATTGACCTAGTGCAGTCTACGTTGGGGCTTAGGTGAGCTTAATGAAGTTTCCTCAAGCATGTCAATTGTTCACATCTCTGAGCAGTGTAGCTGGGTCCACCTAACTTTGCAATATAGACCACCCCTGAGTACAACTGAAATGAACAGCTCTCTATTGACTTTTCCTTTCCATGAATTTTTGGGCTTGTCTATACTAGAAAGTTAGGTTGACCCCAGCCAAGTCTCTCAGCAGTAAGAAAAATTCACAGCCCCGAGACACGTAGCTTAGCTGACCTAAACCCCAGTGTTGACAGTGCTGGACTGACAAAAGAATTCTCCCGTAGATCCAGTTACAGCCTCTCAGAGACATGGATATAGTGTGGCCTTTCGTCACTGTACAGCAATGTAGATATTGTGCTGCTGCTGTAGTGTTTCTAGTATAACCAGTAGCTTTAATGAACGCCTTCTAAAGTTCCTAAAAACCTCCCACCAAGGAAGGTGTTCACTAAAGCCACTGGTTATACTAAAGCAGGAATTTAAAGGAGATTTGCAAAGTTACTATCATGCAGATGACCCATTAGTGCGAGACAGAGCCCAACTCTGCCCTTTTTGAGATACGTGCATTAAAATACAGTGCTTGTGATGGATCTGAACACCATCAAGTCTAGCATTGTACCCCTGGATTTTCACTGATACTTATGTATCTTGCGGAGGTATTCGTAGGTTATCAAATCTGCACATCTGCCATACATGAATAGTGCTTAACTAGCACACATTTACATACAGAGGTGTGTATCTAAGGGCATGTCTACACAGCAGGGCAAAACTCGAATTAAGCTATGCAACTTCTTTATATCAATTGCGTAGCTAAAGTCGAAATAGCTTAATTTGGCTTTCGATGCTGTTTATACAGTAGGAAGTCGAAGGAAGAACACTCTTCCTTTGACTTCCCTTACTCCTCGTGAAATGAGGGTTACCATGAGTAAGAAGTCCTCCAGTTTGACATTATTTCAAAATCATGCCTTGCTGTGTAGATGCGAGTTATTCTGAAATAATAACTCATACCCTAAAC